TTGAGATGTAGTTCAGCCTTCAGCCCCCTCCCTCCTCGCCCTGCTGCCACCGCGATTTGCGCGGGGTGGGGACCCTGGGGCCGGTGGGTGACGGTCCCCAAGGAAAGGGGTGATGAAGCAGGGAACGAGCGTCCGCAGCTCCGCAAGGTCATCCCCGGAGGAGCCGATCGGGAGAAGGGGTGTTCAGCGCTTTCTAAAAATAACCCCGTAGCAGGACCGAAATAACAAGCTGCTCTCGAGCAGTGCTGCGCTTGAAGCCGGGCCAAGGCAGCTGCTGGCGGGCCGGCGGCGGCCCCTCGGGTGTGCCGTGCAGCTGGACCTGGCGGGGGTCCACGGGAGTTCCCCACACCGGCCAGGGGGCGAACATCGGCGCGGCTCGGAGAGATGCTGATGCTCGGCCTGAAAGTGGGGGAGGAAGGGCAGGGTCAGCTCTTGGAAAGGTCCTTTAGGAAGTGGGGTTGATCCCCTCGGAGGAGCTGGGTGTTGGGAGGGGGGACACGGCCATGTGGTTTCCTCCTTTTCCACGGGGTCCAGTTTGGAGAGCAGGACTTGTGTCTGGATCTGTTGGAAAATGTTGGGTGTCTGCAGAGTGTCAGCATCATCTCCTCCTGCAAAGTCTCCTTAATGTGTCCCCAAAGGCTTCCCTGCTCCTGCCTTTTGCAAATCCTGCCCCAGTTCTTGGCTTCCTTGCAGGGACTCTGGAAAATGTCACATTTCTGGTGGTCCCACACACTGGGATTTGCTGGCTCGCTGATATTGAGGTGAAAGTCTGGGCCTGGGGGGGGGTCATCAGGCTCTGTGCAGCTCCAGGCTGCAAACCAGGGGCTCCCTGCCTGCTCTGGCAGCCTCGGGGGAAGTTTCTGGAGAGCTGGGATGATATTTAGAGAATTTCTCGCTCTCTGCACCCACCTGAGAGGAGGTTGGAGCCAGGTGGGGATGGTCTCTCCTCTCAAGGAACAAGGAGAGGACAAGAGGAGATGCTGGAGCTGGGAAGGCCAGGCTGTGTTTTCTTGTTCCCTGGGATGATTTTGGGAGCCAACGCTGCTCTTCCCACAGGTGATGGGGTTTATTGGAATGTACAAGGGCTTGCTGGGGACAGAACTCAGCCATTCGTGGACCTCTGCTCCTTGAAGTTCCAACCCAGCAGCCTGGCTGGATCTCAGAGAGCCATCCCTGAGAGATGCAGGTGGAAATTACTCCTACAGACCATGGGGATGAGCTGCTTTTGGGGCTCCAGGGTGAGCAGACATCCTTCAGGGGGTGCTGCACTCGAGCCCAGCAGTGCCAAGCTCCTCTCTTCTCCCACCCGCCTTTCCAAATCCACTGATGAAACTTGGAGCACTTTCCAGTCTAATTGCAGCTTCAGAGTGGGAATCCCCAGCCCTGCAGGGAGGATAAATCCCTTTTATCCCTCTGGAAGAAGATACAGCAATAGCCTGGGGAAGGCAGCCCCACTCACACATCCTTTGAGGGAGGGGTCCAAACCTGCCTCACGTTCCTGCTTAAAACCTGGCTCGAGTTCAATGCTGCCACCTCCTAGCCAGACCTGCAGGGTTGATTTTTGGGAGAAAAGGGCCCAGCTCCGTGTCAGAAGCTGTTGGCACTGAGATTGGAACAAGCACGTCCCTGGGCTGACAGTGGTGGCCCTGCTCCATCCAGCCAAGCAGCGGCCGGTCCCTCCCGGGGCAGCGTGTCCTTCCGAGTGCCTCTCATTTTGTTTTTATTTTGATGTTTTTTAGGCTTAAAATCCATACTCCTGGCTGCTCCTGCCCTTATATGCAAGTGCTCTATAATTGAAAACTCTCAGTTGTGCGCTTCTCCCATGCAAAGCAAAGGCTTCAAAGCAGCAGGTGGAAATTGAGCCGATATCTCGGCTGCCAAAGTGAAAATTTGAATGAAAATTTAATTTTTCCTTTACAAAGCAGGGAATTGGGTTCCTGGGGCTCTGGCCAAAAGCCTGATGTAACCTTGACGTGCAGGGGCAGTGAGGGGAGCAAACCCCAGCTCTGTCCTAGGGACACGGGAGATGCAGTGAAGATTTTTCTGGAAATTCTCTTGGCCAGATGGAGTTTCAGCTTCTGTGTAACAATAATGTGATCTCCTGATGGTTTTATGGGTTTTGTGGATTGAGGAGCAGGGACTGAACATCTCCTGGGTTTTGAGCATCATCTGTGAGGCTCAGTCTTTTCCCACAAGAACACTCAGAGCCTGTTGCTGGTGTTGAGTGGTGCCCCCCAGACTCCAGATGTGCTTTCTCCAGGTGCTTTTCTGCAACATCAAGCTGTCCTCGATCCTCTTTGGCACCCTGCTTTTCCTGCCCACCCACCCTGAGGCCAGGACCCCGTGCTTTCTGCCACTGCCACCTGCAGAAGGCAGCGACGACACTGACATTGTGCAGGGGGTAAAACATCACCACGAGTATCTCCTCCTGGGCTGGGGGTACCCAAAGGCTCCTGGGGGTTGCCAGCGGCTGGATCCACTGCGGAGGGTGCAGGGCAGGAGCTTCCCGTCCCCAAGCCCACATTTGGGGAGCAGGGAGGGAGGGAAGAGAGGAGAGGGAATGTGGCTGTGGAGTCACTGCCTGAGCTGGAGATGTGCCACTGCTCTGTGGGAGAGGAGTGTTCCCCCCGAGGGGCTGGGGGGCTTTTGGGGGTGCGTGTGGCCCCTTAGGAGCGTTCTCTTGCATCCCACGTGGATTTGATTTCCCAGCCCGCGGATTCCTTTGGGCTGAGGAAAGCCGGCGGAGCCGCCTGTGAGAAGGAGCCGCAGCGGGCGGGTCCCTCCCGGCTCTTATTTGGTGTTTGTTTTTAATTGAAAGACAAAAGGCCGCGTGCTAGAGGCAGCCTGCCTTTCCCTTTGTCCTACGTCTTCACGGGATGAGGAGAGGGATACGAAGGGAACGCGGCACTCCCGATTTTACCCATCCCTGGGGCCAGCGTTCCCTGTTCCAATGAGACCCCCAGACCCCACCGAGCAGCAGCTGCCTCTTTCCTGGGAGTGAAGGGGGAGCAGCTGCGGGGTGATGCCACAGGCAGGTGTATCCATCTCTCCTGCTCTCCTGAGCTTTAGTCCTTTCCTCTTCTTTTTTTTTCCTTTTTAATCCCTGGAAACAAAGCCAGGGGGCAGCTGCGCCAGGCAGCGCATCCCGCTGCAGGCAGGAGCGGGGCTCTGCTCACGTGCGGGATCTCGGCTGTGCAGGTGATTCCCAAAAATCCCTTTGCCAAAGAGAACCCTCCGGCTGCCCGGGGGTTTCCGGGCAGCTCAGGGTGTTGGCCGGAGCACGGATGTTTTGGGAGAGCAGGAGAGGAGCCCACCTTGCGGCGCCCGGGGCTGCCTGGCAAAGGGGTGGCTATTTCTGGGCTGCAGAAGGAAAATTGTCCAACTGCTGAAATTGGCAGTGAACCCCAGGACTATAATAAACAACTTCCCGGCCAAGGTCCCTGGCTATTTTCTCTCTGTTTTGGCTTGGAGAGGAAGATTTATTTTGTTTGCTGCTTGGAATTTTTTTCCCTTGTCTTTTTTTTCCCTCTTCCTTTGGAGGTATTTAAAGCCAACAACCCCCCCGAGGCCAGGCTGGGGTTGCTGCTTTCCTGGATGTCTCTGGGTCTGTGGAGGTGTCAGTGCCACCGGCTCCCATGGTGGCACTCCAAGCAGAGCCTTTTGGGATGTGCTCAAAGCCCATCCTTTACAGACCTGCAGGGCATTGGTAGCCTCCAGATGAGCATTAATAATAAAAAAATGAAATAATAAAAACCAAAGAAACAAGCAGGAAAAAATTCCACTGGCTTCCAGGAAGGGTTTTCCTGGCTGTGGGACTGACCAGTCAAGCAGGAAGATGAATTCTCTGTGCAACCTTTTCCATCCTCATTCTCCTTGGGGAAGCGTGGGCTGCCAAAGCGAGGTTTGGGAGCTCCCACATTGCTGTGCTGTCCCAGGGTGCCCCTTTCCCCATCCTGCAGAGAGCTCCCAGGTGCCACAACTCATTCCAGTGGGATACAAAGGGCATCATGCTGGATAAATCATGCATAAATGATGGGGATATGCAGCATCTCTGCATGGTGGCAGCTTCAGCGGTGCTGCAGCTTCCCAATCCCTGTGCCTGCAGCAGGCTGGAGCACTGCAGGTGGGATATTAGGAGTTGAGATCCGTGTTTTGGGACAGCCCTTGCTTGGCACAAGTGATGGAGCAGCAAGGTGAGAGATCACCAGCACCCAAACCCTCTGGGAACAGGGGAAGCTCTTGGCACAGGGCTTTCCTTGCAGCTGGAGTGGGAGGATGCAGTTGGAAGTTTCTTTTGGAGGGGGTTTGGTAGAGGCTGCTCCCCTGTTTATTGATGCAAACTCTCTTGGAATGACATTTTTCCCCTCAGTTTTCCTGAGGCAGGACTCACTTTGCTCTCCAGCCAGGAGCAGGGTGAGTCCAGGTGTTTTCCCTGATATGGAGTACTCAAGGTGTTGCCAAGAATGTGAGGATTTGGGCAGAGGGCGATGTTTCAGCTAGCTGTGGTCCCACAAAGCCACCAGCTGTGGCAAAGGGACCCCCAAGAGGGATCCTTCAAGATTTTGCATGGAATTTCTTCCTTTTCCCACAGAGTCAAGCTGGCTGGTTGTTGTCAAGCTGAATGTGGGCATATCCAAGATCTCTTCCCGAGGGAGGAGCAGTGTTTGGCCACCAATTCCGTTACTCTGTGATGTCTGGGCTGGTGCATCCTGGATGTTCTGGGGGTCGTTCCCCACTGGAGAGGAAGGGCAGGGCAGGAGGGGCTGGCAGCACTCCCATAGGAACAGCACCTCCCTGCAGACAGCCCCCTGGAATACGAGGTGATATCCACAGTGTGATCCATTGGCATGACCCACATCCGGCTGGGATTTCTGGGATGCTGGGAGATACAGAATGGGGCCAGGATGAAGCTGTGCAGAGCACACAGAATGAGGGGGCCAGGTCTCAGCAGAACCATGAGAAAGGATTTTCCCAATGAAAACAAGGTGCTGCTGTATCCTGAGCCCACATCCCTGGATCCATGTAACCTGGGGAGGCTTTGCAGCTCTCCTGGGTGAGCTGCAGCCCCGGGGAGATGACGCTGACACGAGCCAGATTTCGGAGCCGGGCACAGGAGGCTGGCGAGGCCTCGCCTTGGCAGAGCAGCCAGGGGAACAGCTTGTGACAGCCTCTCTCCCTCTCCGAGTGCCTGCTGGGGTGCGTTCCCTAACCTTTCCTGCCTCCGTTCCACTCCTGTGTTTCTCTCTCTCTCCTCTTTTTTTTTTTTCCTTCCCTTTCCCCTAACTGTAAATGCGCCATAAAAATGGATCAAATTGCTTAAATCACTGTCATTAAATCAGTGTGAGTCCCCCCTCCGCCCCTGTGCTCGAAGCCTGGCAGAGAACATTTGTTCCAAAGGCTGAACAGCCGTCTTATTGCTCTGAAAGCATATTTGCTGCTTGATGGAAGGAGGAGAGGAGGAGAAAAACAGCCTGCAAGGGAAGGAGGGGGGGTGAAACCACCGGGGGCTGGTTTTCCTTGGACACAGAGAGGGGAGCGGGGGCTGAATCCTGCGGGCTGGGTCCATGGAAGGTGATGGGGTGACAAGGATGAGGGCACCAAGGACACCCCTGGGTGATGATGAAGTTGGGGTTTCATGGTACAGGAGATGCTGGAGAGGGGTGGTGGGGATCCAGCAGACCACACAGCCCCATCCTCTGGAATGCTCTCCATTGGAGCCCAGCAGTGATGCTGTGGAACAGCTCAGCCTGGTGCAGCACAGGAGAGCAAAGAATTCCCAGTAAACAAGGCAGGCTGAGCTGGTGAACCTTCCCGAGGCCCTGGGTTGATTAAGCCCTGCCAGTCCCAGCTTAAAGAGTGGCTTTAGACCGGCTGGTGTTTGCACATCCAAATAAAAAGCTTTTGCAAGCCATGGGCTCCGGAGGCTCAGGGGAGCTGGGGAAAAGTGATTGCTCTGGAAATTCAGAACGTTTTGGGAGCCTGGGTTTTGTCATGGCAGAGCAGGGCAGTGATGGAGGCAGAGACAAGGCTGACTCCAGGAGATGCGGTGTGTTCCCACACCGGCACCGGGCCACGCGGGGGAATGCAGGAATGCTTCTACCCAGGTGGTCTGGAAAATCCCTACAGAGAGCAACGGGAATGCCGAGGAGAGCCGGGAGCTGGAGGCGGATCAAAAGGCTGGGGAAGGGGCTGCCACAGGTGGCAGGTGCTGGCAGGGAGAGCACATTGCAGAGGCACCGCTGTGCCGAACCCTCCTGGTTTTCCAGAGCTCCAGGCTTTTACAAAGCTGTTGTTACACTCAGCAGCGGCTTTCTGGTGCTTTGTCCCCAGGAAGGCTCTTCAGAGGATGCTGATTCTCTGCCCATCCATCATCCTCCACCCTGCTGAGCTGGGACACTGCCTCCTGCCCTGGAGCTGTCTTCTGGGCTCTGCCTGAGCACTGAGGACAGAACCAAAGTTGTCTCCAGGTCAAAGTGTGACCCCGGGGGTGCTGTGCTGTCCATGGACCACGGAGGGCTGGTTGTAGCCTCCTGCTGCACTGATCCCAGCTCCAAAGCCCTGAAGAAAACAGGAAGATGAAATGTGTGGGTGCAGACCCCTGTGTGTGGGGCAGAGCTGGGGGACACAGCCCTGCTCCTGCCTCTGCCCTGGGTGCAGGAGCTGAAACACAAAATTCACAACAGCTCCGAGGGCTGGAGAGCTGCCCAGATTTCCACAGACCCAGATTAAAAACCAGCTCAGAAAGGCTGCCTGGAGGCTGGGGCAAGGCTCAGCCTTCCCGAGGCTCGGCGTGCTCTGGATGCCTCCGGGCGCTGCTCTGGGGAGCCAGGGTGGCCCTGCCCGGCCCTTTGCACGCCCTGTTCCAGCTGCTCCAGGCCAACATGGACTCCCATGCCCTTGAAGACCCCATAGGTGGTGAGCAGAGACCCCCTACCACAAGATGGGATCTGACTGGAGCATTTCCAGGGTCCCCCTGGGAGACGGAGAGGGCAACACAGCCGTTCCCTCCTCATGGGTTTTGCAGATTAATTATTACCAGGGTAAGGAGCGGCTTCATGGCTCTCCCCCTCCACCCCCCCCTTCCCATGGGAAACTGCAGGGACAGCTTCTCCTTGTCCCTCAGGGGTGATACATGTCAGGCTTAATCCCTGAGCATCCTGCTGCTTGCTGGGGACACTCAGAGCTGATCCTTGGCCCTGGTCCGAATCAGGAATAACTCCCTTAAAGACAGCAGCAGTGAGTTAGCATCTCCCAACGCTGTGACACAGGAATGCTCCATGGAGAAAAGCAGGATTGATAGGAATTATCAGGTTTTGTTTAACCATATTGAACTTCAGGGTGAGGGGCAACTCCTCCGTTCCCAGCTTTTGGTCTTTACTTTGGTTTCTGAGTGCCTGAGGGCAGCAAATCTGTCTTGACAGAAGTGCTAATGGAGAAAAAAATGGATATTAATTCAGGGGAAGAGTTTCTAGAAAGGGATTCATCTCTGTAAGCACCACTGAACTACATGAGCTGCTCAGCTCAAAGCAGGAGAAATGATTTTTTCTGGCTGCATCCCAGTCCACAGGGATGCTGAGGGACAAAGCTCATTTTGGGCTCATTTGGACCAGGTACAGACCTGGGGGTCTCCCAATTGGTGCTGGCAGAGCATCCAGAACCTCTAGGTTCCACATGCCAAGAGGCAGTACAGAGGAGAGGAGGTGACTTCCCTTCTTTCCACCCCAAAAACCCTCTGAGAAGCAGAGATGTGTCATCATCTCAGGCATGGTCCAACCCTCATCTTGATTTCCCTCAGCCAGGCATCCCAGGAACAGGAATTTCTGCCCAGGGATGGTGAGGGGAGGAGGGAGCAGAACCCTCCTGGCAAAGGCATTGGCTGCCACAGACCCCTCGCAGCTCCCTTCACTGGAGGTGTGTGTTCATTGCTTCCTGCTGGGAAGGGCCACCACTGGGATCTGTTTGCTCAGGACCTTGTTAGGTGCTTGTGCTCTCAGCCACTCTCTGCCTGCAATCCTTCAGCAGGGATAAATCCTGGCAAACCTGTCCTGGCACAGGGCTCCAGTGCTGGCACCAGATCTACCTTGTTTTGGGGGCTGGTCACCTTCTGAGGTGAGAGCCATCAAGGACCTCCCTGCACTGGCCAAAATCTCCATGAGCTCCCTCCAGCTGCTCCTGGGAGTGACTGGAATTGCCAACAATGGTCTGAAAAATTGAGCCATTTCCATTTTTTCATGGAGCGGTTGTTGCACTGTGACCTTATTAATACTCGACCTCGCTAGAATGGACCCTCAAGTGCCTCAGGGGAGAACCAGGACCCTGAGCTCTTTTCCCCTTCAGGGGAACCTCTCCCACCTGTGTTCAGGAGCCCGGCTGCCACTGCCCAGTCCTGCTGTTCTTCTGCAGGTTTTTTGCTACACTGCCTGCCGAGACACCCAGCAGCTCCTGTTAGAGCTGTGGAGCTTCTGGTACATCTCATTTACTCCTGCGGGATCTGATCTGCGCCTTCCCAGCCACCGCTGCCAGGTTCCCGCTGCAGCTCCTTTCTCTGCCCGCCATCCCGCGTGAGGGAGAAACAAGGCCGCGCCCGCGCCACAGCGCCCCCTGCTGGCTCGGAGGACTCA